CAGGAACAGAGATCTGGGGACAGCCCTGGTCTCCTGCAGGGCCTTCCTCGTGCTGGCTGGGTGCTCTCTTTTTACGCCCAGGCCATCTGAGGTGCGGCAGGAGTTGGGCTCTGTATGGCCCCGCACCCCGCGGCAGCACGGGCTGGTACCACCACGCAGGTTTACATCTTGTGTTTATTTCAGTGCCGCCGGTTTGCAACTACCACTTGCCATGCTGTGTATGTAGGTGCTGAAAATGTTAAAATATTGTGAATATCAAGAACCCAAGACATTCAGACATTCTGCTGCAGCAGACTTCATTGCACTGAAAACTGATAAGTGACATATCACGATCTCAGAGTCTCTTGTTAACTCAACAAGCAAATTGAGCTGAAACAAAACAAAACAAAACACCCAAGACAGATTAAGCTTTAGAAAGAAATAAGCATTCTACACAGAGCTAATCACACTACAGGCAGCCAATACTGTAGCACTGAGCAGACATGGAAGAAAATAACCTGTTTTCCAGCTGAACATCAATGCCAGACTTGTTCATATAACGAAAGGAGATGCTGTGGGTACCGTAGGAATTGGAAAGGTAAGCTATTGCTACATCTTCAACTACAGACCAAGTCTGTGTCCATCCTACCTGTGGAGATAGCTCTGTTCACAGTGGGCAAAAAACTGTAAGGTCCAGCCTCCAAAAGGAAAAGCTGGCTTTGTCCCAGGGACCCTTCCTAAACCAGCCAATAAGTAAAGATTGATTTATTTGCTAACAGGTCTGAGGAGTTGGAGAACATAGCCTTTTGCATACTAATTTTTCATAGATGCTCAGTATATATACCATATCCCAAACCAGCAGTTTTTAATTTTGGGTGGAATTGAGGCCTTTAGCTTAAAGCAGTCCCTCATTTAATCATCATACATGTCTGCCTCTTTGGACTGGGCAAGAAAGAGGAGACAATCCAGCCTGCCCACATGCCTTGTGTAGCCAGCCGAGAGACGTGAGTGTTTCAGAGGACCTGCAGAGAAGCTCAGTTCATTTGGCTTTGGTTCTGCCTCCCCTCCAGCTGACCATTCAGAAATACAGACCCAACAACAGTAGGGGCCAGGCCACTCGAGGATTTATATCCATAGATTAGATTTCATTCCACTTCACTTCCCACAGGCTGTGCCCACAAGGCTGAAATCAATCTCCCTCTCCCCTGCCTGGCCCAGTACTGTGACTCCTGCCCTCCTGCCTCTACATCTCTAGTGAAAGGGCAAAAGGGGGCTCACCCTGAGAACACACACATAACCCAGCAGCTAAGCCTCAGCTGCACCTTCAGCTAATTCCCCTTGGCCTGAATCCAAGGCTTCCCACATTCCAGCACTGCTCTACTGCCAGACTTGGACCTAAGTCTCACCAGAGGAAACCAGGCTAGCTGCAGTAGGTTCCTGCTAGCCACAAACACACAGCCTGCATGGCCACAGGCAGGGGAAAGCCCTGTCATTTACATGTGCTGAATGACAAAATTCAGCAGCAACCAGGGTCTGGGCTAAGGACACACGGTGGAGTTTCCAGGAGACCTCAGAGGCAGTGGCTGCAGCAGCTGTGAGTGTTGTAAAACACGAAAAACAGCCTCATTGAAATGTTACAATTCCAACTTGTTACTCAATACAGAAGAGCATCCCAAGGGAATATGGACCATTTTCTCATATCTGTTTTGAGACAAGACATAGCATAGCTACTTCTCGGCCAGAGGGAACAGCCTCTGCCTTCCCTGGATAGATCCTGCTGTTGTGTGTGAACGGAGCCACAACAGATATGAATCATTCAGCAGCAGACAGAAAGATGCAAGAAGCTGGAATTCCCTCACTCTTCCAAATTTAAGCTCATTATTTTAGGAGACTTCTGGGGAAAAGTGCTTTTTGTAGGGAGACAGTGCTGTTCTGAGGAAAAGATAAGCTAGGGAGCAAGGCAGTAAATGTACTCTTCCTTGCACAGAGAGAGGAGACTGTATGTGTTCACTTAGTCTCCTACAATATTTAAGGGAACTGAAAGATGTAAAAAATGCCTAGAGACTGTATATTTAGGAAAAGACAAAAAGAGGGGTTGTAACCCCACCCCTCACAAATGACTTCTTCCTATCAGGGCACAGACAGCAGTCACTCATTAGCTGGACATCCTTAATCCGTGCCTCCTTTACAAAGATGTGCCACTTTAAGCAGAGGAGACACAGATGTGAAAGCCTCTACACCTTTTGGAGAGCAGCAGAACACCCATCGATCAATACTTTAACTTGAAAGCTGCCATAATTCTCTGAAAATACTGAATTATTTAAAAGTATAGATATAAAAACATCAGAGCAGCATTGTAGATCTCTCAGTTTGATCAGTGCCCACCATATTTTATTCTTAAAATTTCTTTCTCTTAGCCAATTCAAAGATAGTGATTTGCTCTTGCATAATGTTTTTCTCCACGAGTCTCATTAGTAACAGATACAGTAAATACTACCTGGTAACACACAAATGAAAAATGAATCAGAACTGTTTTAAAACTCCTCCCCAGGTCCAGAAGCAGCCACAGGATGGACAAAAACAGTCCAGGGCACCTGAAGGCTATGTCCCACCATTTTTCTTCCCTTCCACAATAATTTTAAAAAGAGGAGCATCTTATACTCAGCACTAGGTGGGGGTTCTAGAAAAGATATCTGCTGGGGGAATGAAAATTACTGCAAGTCATTGTATTAAGTCTATCAATGAATGTTATGGGGGAAAAAAATAGACATATGTTGAAAATAGCATGTCATCACCTTCAATGAACCCTCCCTGTGACAGTTAGATAATTTTGCAGACAAACCATTTGCAATTACTAAGCAGCAACATTGGCAAAAACACAATGAAGATTTCTCTAAACAGGGATACCACACAGTAACTTCTCTGAAGTTTATCCCAAACTTCTTCTATTTTCTTCTAGATTCTTCTATGATAGGCCTTCTGTGCTATAGTAATGTTAACATTTATTATTAGACATGGGTACTAGAAAAGATAACCCAAGTAGATTGCCAGTCACATCTTTCTGTCACATTGAGTGTAGTTTTTAAATACAGACAATTTAATGCTTATTATATATTTTTAAAATTTTATTTTTATTTTTTTTATATTTTGCCAGTGGTGCACTTTGAGCTCTGAGCCTGTAGCCAGTTAACAAGGCTGAGTCTAAGCATAATTCATCCTTTTCACAAAGAAATTATGGAGACTGCATCACTGGCCTCCAACTGCATTCAGTGACATATTGGCCTGAAGTTTGAACTGAAATTGTTTGTGCATTTGCATCCAGAGGGGTGGACATGACCTTGGTACAAAAATGCTGCTGCATTTTTTTTACCTTCTGAAGATACTTGTCAGTTCAAAACTGCCTGGTCATGGCATCAGGGCATTTTTATTTCTAGCTCTAAAAAACTGTGCGGGAATGCATTATGTTAAAATCTGTTTGTAATAATAAATGCCTACATTGTATATAATAACATTTGATTTTACCAGTGAATAAACAATTGAAGCATGCATGGTATCAGATCTGCAGTGTTCTGTTTAAATTTCAGTCAAGATTGCCAATTGCATTGCAAAGTAACAGACATAAGTTTGCATTTTTTAATGTTTTCACAGAACACTAAACTTTCCTCCCTCTGTCTAGACATAAAGCAGGTAAAAGTATGGTCATGGAGAACACATAACTCCTTAAATTGCCCAAATAATAATGCACATCTGCCAAATAATAATGTAAAGAAATGTATTACAGGCTCTCAGGCATTAAAGTCTGCAAATCCTGAAATATTTTGAAATCTGGCTTTATCTGTGTAGGATTTTTGCACTACTGGAAGTGCCCCACAGAGGAAAGACAGACACCTGACACATTTCAGGTTTTTGTGTGAATTTTCAATACTGTGAAACAGGTATCATGAGAAACAAGGCCACCAGAAACAATGCCTGAAACTGTACTTTAGCAGGTGTCAAAAGTCAGCTGTGTTTTGTCCTAATGCAAAGAACCCAGGTCCAGTCTTGTTCATACACTTCTAGATAATTGTAAGCACCAGCAGCTCTAAGTTGATGCTAGAAGACAGTTTTAGCACATTTGAAATTAAACTGGCCTGAGGCAAAGCTGTGATACAAAAGCGGAACCCTTCAGGAGGTGCTGGAGATTAAAAGTCTTATTAAGAGTTTCTTTAGAGATGTTAGAAAACTCAAAGATCTGTATCTGGTTAAGTTAATTGCCTTGAACAATTAACACTATCAGGAGAACCTAACACTCAAAAATTTTGTCTAGAAGAAAATGGGCACTGATTAAATCAACATCAACTTTGGAACCCATAAAACCACTTTAGATAACTCATCAAAAGGAGGGCAAACTCCTAGCAAAGCAGTTGCTCATTTTCAATTCAACATTTGGGTTGATCTTGACAAGTAGAGTCCAGCTGATCACCTGTCCCCTTCTGGTGCCCATATTCAAAGCTGCAGAGCTCTTAACATTTTTGCTAAATTCAGAATTTATCATCATGTTACTTAAGTTCCACATTTAAAAGCAACTGTACCAGTACATACATAATTAAAGGGATTAAGAAATACCTTATGGTAACATAATTTGCACTAGACTAGGAAATTATTCTTGAAAGGAAGTCAACAATTATATTTTTCTTGGAGGTCTCTCTTGGTACATTGTAATCTCCATATTCTGCTTTATATCCCATCTGTCTACATACATCTGTTGTCTCTTGCTCTGTACCACAAACTGTTTCAGGCAGTGAAGCATCTATTTTGTGTAACACACCTAGTTCCATGTGCTTTCATAGGACTAGAGGAAGCTAACCATTAAACAATAATATAGTTTTCTAATAATAATAAAAACTAGGCTACAAATTCATATCCAAAACCTACCTATTTCAAAATGAACAGTGATAAAAATATAACCAAACTGTTCATCAGAATGCATCATATGTTGTATTTCATTGGTTTTTTAAAGGAATGCACAAAAGGTCAATGAATGTAGACAAATAATTTATTTTTTATTTATTCATTATTTTATGCACACTTGGCATTTTGCAAGACAGTCAAAGAGAAACAAATTAAGTGCAAAGCAAGATAAATATTATAGGTTGAATATATTTTAACACATTTCTGTCATCTTTAAATTAGCAGACACTAACAACTCAGGGAGAACATTAATTTCAACTTCTTTATACTGGCAGTAATTGAGTAAACTGCACAACAGAGTATTATGATATTTTAAATGATCCAACACAGCAGAAGAAAATAGGCTTAATTTCCTAAATAGAAATCATTGATTAACTTTTAAAGATAAGAAGATTTTTCTTTGAATTAGCTATATAAGGCATTAGATGATTTCTCCGTAATAAATGAAATCCTTCATGAATACAGGGCTAACATCTCTGTTTTGTGTGTATGTGTGTATTCAAGTCAACCCATACTTCATACCCCAAAAGCATCAGTCAAATGAGGAGGAGCCAGGGATCCATGCCAGAGCTGTGTCTGCAAATGCAGACACATGTAAAACCTTTGGGTTTACACACAGAAAGAAAGATACAGTAGCCAAATCTGAAAAAAAGGAATACACCAATAACATCTTCCACTTACTCTCGGTCAGGCAGAACACAGATCAAAAAAACCTTATTTTGAAATGTAATCGAGTACTTGCCTAAGTATATAAAAAAAACATGAATCTCAGAGAGGGAATATTAAAAATAAATATAGATGCTAAGAGAAACACTGCTTAGTATACTAAGAGGAAGACAAAACTAAAAAGTGGATAAGCTAATTACTGAATAGGAACACAGAAAACAGATTTGGGATCTAAGACTGCACATACAGAAAGAGCTCCTGGAACACTGACTATATTTAGGACTGCAAAGGGGTGGATGTTAGCTTCACAGGCCAATGCAGCTTAAGATCAGGAAAAAAGTCCTGAAAAACACATCTGAGAACTGTTGCCCCTCCCTCCAGCTTAGATTTGCTAACCACTGCCTTCACCATACTTTAAATATGCTCTTATTACCTCTCTAATCTAACTTCCAATGTCTGTTTGGAAGGAAGGATCTTTTTCGGGTAATTTATTGAAGTCAGTTAGGACCTGAATGTTCTCATATGTTCACAGTAGCATTTTATACTTTAGGGCTTGAGCCACCATCATGAGGTGCAAATAAACAACTTCACTTTGGACATTTTTGTGGCACAGTACTGAGATGAACTATGTAAAAATTAAGAAGCTTTGGATCACAATCAAGAGTGGCTATCCTCATTTATGCTAATTTGAATTAAAGCATTTGCACAACCAACATGCTCCCACCTGCTGCTTGTTATTCTTTTAATTGAAGCTAAATGCCCCCTTCCTTCTGCTTGCTTTAATAGCCAAATTAGGAGGGTAAAAAAACCCAAACAACCAAAAGGACAACTACTATAAAACAAGCAGTTTTCTAGTTTTAACTGATATTTTGTAGGGAACAATCAAATCCAGTTCAAAGCAAGCAGACAGAGCAAAGCAAGTGGTGGCCTTTGGTGGAAGCACATCAAGCTAGAGGACTAATACAGAGCACCAACGGGTAAGCAACCTCTTACTCTCTCATGCTACCTTCCAACAGAAATTTTATTGGGTCTACACAGACCTTTGCTTCTCCAAAGGTTAATTCAAGACCTCAACTGAAGACTAATCTGATCTGAATTACCCTATAGAAGAACCTATCTACTCAGTGACAGGACCCTAGGAGAATAGTGTCCTAACTTTAGTATCTACTCGAGATATTTAAAATTCAATGATATAAATATCCTCCAGCTACAGAAAATGTGCTTAGAGGCAATTATCCCTTTTGTCCTTCTCAACTTGTTATTACAAAAAGGCATAACTTGCTTCTGGTGCTTACAGGCATAGCATGCACAGCACAGGTATTTACAGATAGTGTTTGGAACTATTCCCTCTATTGCTGCTCTCCCACCTTTACAGAAATTAGTTTCTTTAAAAGGTAGTGCAACAGGAGCTTCTTGTTACATTACTCAAACTCCTATTGTGGCAGAAAATGGAGCGTACTATTAAATCATAAATACAATGCAAGTATTTTGTTGCTGGTTATGTGACGGGGGCAGGGAGAGAGACCTATTATGTTTAAATGAATCCAGGTGCTGGATTTAGGTATTTAAATGTGAAAGTCTGGAGATGCCCTTCCTTCTCATCTGCACATATGAATAAATACAACCAGGAAATTTCCCCAGGCAATTCACACACCTCACTTCCAGAGCTAGGCCAATCTCCACAACCCTCAACTCCACCATCTGCCTGGCAAGGACAGGAATGCAAAATGCCACAAGATGCTGAAGAGGTGCAGTGGCTTTATGTTAATTAACAAAATCCAGAAAGATCACCATCACACAGATTTCTCCGTGACAGCTGAAGGGCACCTGTAATTGTCTGAATGCCAAAGTTAAATCAGAAAGTGAAAAGTCTCCCTGTGAACACATCAATTCCTGGTTACTTTAATGTACTTTTAGTAACTATTCCAAAATAACTTCAAACATAGACTAGCCATTAGTTTCCAAATTCTAACCAAGCCAGCTATTTTTTCTGTTTGTTTCAGAACAGTGGGTATATGCAAAAATCTGTGGCACCATCCTAAAGAAAAATCTAGAGAGACCAAGGTCTGATAAAAGGGAACCCATCTCTGAGAGATGTTACTTGTCCTAAAATAACAAAAAAAGGAAATGTACAAGATTCTTGTGTCTGTTCTCAACATGACAAGTTCCTTATGCCAGGTATTTTTCGTTTTCACCTCTCCCTACCTTGCTCAGCAATCAGTACAATGAAGCAAAGAAACCAACCACAGGGGTATCTCGGATGATAGAACAAAGAACAAATGAAGCTGGAAAGGGACCTCTGGAGGTCACCAGCTCAAGTAGGGCCATCCAGTCAGTGCCCAGGATGATGAGGATCTCCAAGGATGGAGACTCCCCAAGCTCTCTAGGCAACCTGTGCCATAGAATGTGTCATCTTGTGTGTTTCAGTTTGTGCACACTGCCTCTTGTCCTGTTCATCGGCATCACTGAGAAGAATCTGGCTCCCTCTTCTTCATTCCAATACATTGATCAGATTTCCCTTGAACCTTCTCCAGAGACTATAATTTTTATCCCCAAACTGCAGCTTGTCCTCAGAACAGGACCAGCTGCAAAATATCTGAGCAATTAAGTCCTACATGTGCCTGTGTGTACATGCATGAAATAGTTGCATTAAATAACAAAAAACATGATTTCACAGTGGTAGGCAAAGAAAAAATATTTTTATGTAGTTGATAAAAATGAAAAAAAGATACATTCTGACTTACTTAACATGCACATGAAAGGTCAATATTAAGAGCATCTAAATGGTAAATCTTGATTGAGAAGTATGAGCAAGTGATTCTATGTGGAAAGCTAGGTTCCTGGGAAAGGTAAGAGCTGATCTAGAGCAAGGCACTTACTTTCCTCACATCTACAAATAGCTCTGGCTACCCTTCCATGAGCTTCCAGATAAATCTGAGTAAGTCCTCTTTTTTTCTTTCCTCAACCTTCTTGACCTTTACATTTCTTCAGAATCTAAGGAAAATGAGTTTTCAAATAGCTGAGGGTATTTTTATTCTTTTATTTTTAGAAAAGGTGAACAAAACATGCAACAGAAAAACTTCATTCCTCAAAACTCCCTTCAGTTTAGGATGTGTGTCCTAGATGCACCATTTACCATCCTTAAGTGAAAACAAGACATGGAGAAATCAGAGCTATGTAACTCAAACAAAAGTATTTAGTCCATTAGCTGAAAAGGAAAATCTCACCACTGCCTCCTATTACAGAGGCTGAATCTTCTTAATGAGACTCTTCCTGTTGATGCATTTCTCTGAAGCTCCTGAGGATCTGTAACATCCAACACTCATTTCTCAGCCCTTCCCAATGTCAGTTACTACAGCTTGTCCTGTGCTGGTAACATTTATTAAAGAGCATCTTCTTGCACTTCATTATCAAGCCAGATATCTAAAAATCACAGAAACCATCAACTCAGTGAAGGACTAATGTCTTCATCTGGGAAAAAAACTGACTGCATCTGACACAGCATGTGCAGATGCATTAAACCAGGGATTTCTAGTATAGTCATTTCCAAAGCTACAACTTACAGAATCACTGTTAAAGAGCAATAATTAATATGTAAATCATACATATAAAGTCGCCTCCATAGTCCTCATAATAAAATGCTACATTTTATTTAGTTTTTGTAAATTTAGCAGTCCTGCTGATGTGACATGGGAAATATATCCCATAAGATGCAATAAGTACACACAGTAAGAACCAGAACTCGGCACACAATTTTTGCAAATGCACAGTGGGTGACATTTCTGATGACAGCAGAGCAGTTAAACTACTCAGTCTTAATTATAGCAATATGAAAGATTATCAAAATAGTGGCAATACATTAATTATGTTTGTCTGTTCACACATTTACAGAACTATACATACAGCCAGTTATGTACATGAGATTTTGGAACAGGGAAAGAGGATGCATTTCCAAAAAAAACCAAACCCAAACAAACAAAATAAAATGAATTATATATCACAGGTATTAGCAAGGGACAGAAGCAGATCCTGGCATTAAGAAAACTCCTCAAGGTTTCCTCCTCAGCATTTCTTTTTTTTTTTTTTGTTTGTTTGCTTCTCTCTGGATGGTCTGGATGGAATTTGATTTGGAGGGTTTGATGGTTTAAGGATGGATGTTGTTTCAGTCTTGTTTTTCAGGACAGGTAGTACAGCACTGGATGGAATTAATCTCAGTTTAGTATCTAACCTGAGCTAAATCACAGCTTCCACAGTCTCCAGAGAGGCTCCCTAGAACATGATTCATTCCACTTTCCTGAAATGTCTGCCTTAGGAGATTAATAACTCTCTAGAGGTGCCCAGATTCCTTCCTTGAAGTAGATGTCTAACTTTCAGAGAACTAACATTCAGTGAGATGAATTCTACTCACTGTGTACCATGATTACTAGACATCTTATATCTGGAAAACTTAGCATAAGAGCTCTACAGAAATACAAAAGTTTTAGTACGTTTTGTTGTTTGTTCACTTGTGGTTTTTTGTCTGAAACTTGGGACCTCCAAGTACATGGGGGATTACAAGGTCCAAACTCCCACGAAAAACTGTTCTATATGAGTCATGCTCACTACTGGACTTAATCAGGTGTATAATTTAAAGAACAGAAGCCCCACACATTTCATAGAGCTATGCAGCCAGATAGCTCAAAATTATGAATACAACTAAGTACACTACTGAATTAAAGCCCTGAAGAGTTAAGAAGATGCTTTAAATGGTACAGTTATCAGACTAGTTTTTTAAATTACCCAAGGAATTACATCATTACCTACAGGCCATCCCACATCAATTTCATACAGAGGGTATGGAAGATCCCCTTTAGTTTAAAAACAGGAGCAGTTCAGAGTAAACCCCTTTTTTGGGACATGTTAGCCATTTTTTTTAACATTTGTTGCCAAAGCATATCTTTTACAAAGCTTCAGAAAGACAAATAATCAAACAACAGGATTAAAAAAAAAGAATATCCTTAACAGCAGAATTTAGATAACATGACTGAGGGACAGTCTAGTGATGGAGATGAGACCCAATTCAAGAGTAATTAAATTCCTCCAGTGGAGGAACTGACATAATTCACTTTGGATTAAATGAAACTAGAATATAAGTTTCCCTCTATATGACTGCTTTGCAAGGAGACAGTCCACAGCAGTTATCAGACTTTGCATTCACACTTCACACCCTGTAACACCTTTCACGAGCAGACAAACCAAAAGGCACTTTGGCAAAGCAACACTGGAAATTCAGCACATCTGTCCAGGCTTTTCCTGCTGCATGGGTGGAGATGAACTCAGTCTCCAGGTAGAGTAAAGCAATAGTTGAAAGCAGAACTGCTATGAGACACATTTTTTCTATTACACTCACTTTACAAAAGTAATTCCTACATGAAAAACGTTGAGATTTATAGATATATGTTTATGTATGTACACACATCCAAAAGAATTCATACAGACACACAAACATGAGTGTGTGTATATATAATTTATGCATACATATATATAAATAAATAGACACACTTAAGTATAAGACAGCAGAACTAAAGAGACAGTGACCTATTCTTGCTTCTTTGTGACATATGAGGAAGGTCTAAAAGCAAGTTGTTTTCTTTAATCTACACGTATTACAAATGTCAAGTCTGGTCTAACTTTGTTTTGCTGGAAGACTTCTTGGACTTATAAGGCCATAGCTAAAAGAGCTTCTTACTGTCTGACTGAAGGTTGAAGTGTACAACTATAGATGGAAGTCACTCCCAATTGCTTCTCTGCTCTTTGAATTAATTATATGTTGGTAATAGCCAAATTTTAAACAATCCAAATAAAAAGTCAACTTCAATTTATCTTCCAAGTGACAATAGAGAATTCCTGAAAAAACATTTTCAAACAGAAGATGCAACATAAGAAAAAAAATCCTCCAGTATGAAAAAAATTTCAATTTAAACCTTCTTTATGCTACCTAAAAAGCAAGAGAATGAAATTCTTTACACGTATGTGATTACAAAAACACTTCTTTGATTCACTGATGAGAAAAACTCTATTATCTACCAAGTTTACCAGTTTGAAGGCACAATGGCTATCACTTCATCCACATCGCATTCTATTTACAGTGAAAAACAAACAAAACAAATCTCTATACAAAAAAAAGGAGATAAACACAGAACAACCCCTGAGAAGTGAAATTTTATAACAAATATATTTTTTAACTCTGTTCTTTGTAAACTCCCATTATCTGTACCTGTTTTCTCATGTAACTAGAATAATAATAATGTTTAATAATTACAATGAAAAATATAGACTAAAAAAAGGTAAAATTTCACAGAAAAACAAATGAAGCCAAACATGATTGAAAGAATTGAGGTCTCACAGAGAATCATACCAAAGCTGACATCTTTCAGTATGGAAAAAAAAGTAAATCAATCTAAAGTTCTCTGACAATGCCCAGATTTCTAAAGAAGAAAAAAATGGAATGGCATAAACTAGTTGGAAATCCCATAGTGCCATCTGTGTGGAGGGAAAAAATCAAAAAGCCAACTGTGCATGCCCTTCTTTGGATCTGGAACTCCTCAGAGATTCAGCAAAATTTAAAAATCTGAAGAACTAGGTCTTTCAATAAAATCAGATAAATGTTCTGTAGCTGTTTCATGACATGGTTTATAAAGTATTGGCACCAGCACAAAGAGTTCAAAGCAGTCATTCAGGAGTCACAGAGATTGTCAGATTTTTAACGATTTGCAGCAGTCCTCTAGTAGCAGTTGGTTATTTACTGCATGAACTGAAGTGTTCTTTGTCACTGATCTTCAGTACAATACTGTACTTCTCTCAGACAAAGTATTTTTCTTCTTATTCCAGTAGGTAATAAGTGCCATCAATATAAGAATAAGAGAATCAGTATCAAAAGACAGCCTATATTTTATGGTCCATATGCATCAACAATGGCTAAAGGGTAAAAATCTAAACCAAAGCTGTACACAGCAACATACTCTAGCAGTGGTATTCAAGGGAAAAAAAAAGAAAAGCTTCGTCCAAGAAAGTGCAAAAGGAAGAAACTTCCAGAAATTGTCCATCAACACAGTTTTCCTTCTCCAGAGGTTAAGCAGTCTTAAAGAGTGCAAGTACTTTGAGCTACTCTCCTCTCGGAAAAACGAAACAAAACAAAAACCCAAACAAAACAAATCCAGTATTAAGGTTTGGTGATCATAAAATCATCAAATTGTATTGCCCTCGTTTCAAACCCATTATATTTTCATTGCTGTTTTACTGAACGAAGATGCTTGTTTTTACACCTGACAGTAGATTTTATGCCAGTGAAAGGACAGTTGCTAACACATTACCCTAAGTTCTACTTTTCATGATACTCTGCACAATAACCAGATGTATCACAAATCAAGTCTTGACCTTGACAGAAATTTGAAAAAGGAAACTACCCCGGAGTTTTCTACACGTTACCAGTTACAACATTAAGTACTTGGCTTATTGTATCTCAATACCAAGAAGCAGCTGTAACTTTAATCTTTCATTTCTGCTCTAAGTTCAGGTGGTCCAGATTCTTGCATTTATGTTGTGTTGCTTAGGCTGGACATCATTACATCTATTTCAGGTGAAGGAAGGGAGAAAACTGTATCAGATACAATTCATTGCCAAAACTTGAAGAAGACAAAGTGCCTTTTCTATCTGTTCTTATACACAATTTAAACTGGTTTTCAAATAATTATAGGCCAGATCATAAAATCTTATGCTGCAGGCCAAACTAGAATGCTACAATATCTGTGTATGTATACAAATACATATACAAATACATATGTATACATTTATACATACACACACAAGCATATGAAAAGGAAGCACCCATATTTTCTTTACTGATAAATATTGAACTTCTGCTTTCACCTGGATATTAACATATTGTATAACACACTGTGAAGGGACATTTAAGAAGACATTCATTTGCTTCTCATTAAAGCCAGACATATGGCTAGTATTTAAAAACATGCAGTGCCACCAATTAACAGAGTAAAATAATTCTTAGGTACAATTTCAACTTTAAGAAGCATAATACATTTAAATGTATTTTACCCATTTGTGTAGATAATTAATATTTTCCACTATTTTATAGCAGATTTATATTCTCCTTAAAAAAAAATCAGCAGAAATTTACAGGAAAACAACTCTGTCAAACGAGTTCCACAGCAGCATATGTAGGGAGTCACTGGGTGAAACTCTTTTTTATGAACACATTAGGGAAGTTGGCATTCAGTTCCAGCACAACTCTATTATCGATCTGTGAACAGAAGGACACATCGAGTAAAGAAAGATCTTTACAAGACTCCAGCAATTTTCTTAAAGATGCAGGGCTCACCATCCTTGTTCCTGTTCAAAAACAAAACAAAACAGAATTATAAAGTTACCAAAAATAGTGTCGGGTTTTAAGCTGTTAATACCATGTCATGAAAAAATGCTATTACAACACAACTTTTATTTAGAGCATTTAAATTAGTTTTCAAATTAAAAGCTTCTCAGAGAGCATATAGAACTTTTACCTTTTAAAAAAACCTAGTGTGTTTTCTTAACTGCTTAAGTCACTGTCATTGGGAGCAACTTTACAACTTCAAGGAATCTCTTACTACAGAAGCCAGGTACCCAGAGCCACAAGACCTCCAAGGGACCAGATGCTGGGCCTAGGCAGCAGCAGGGAAGGCTACAGTCATGCTCTCCTGATGAGCACAGACCATTAGCACAGCAGATGAGGGACTGGGGGCTATTCCAATTCCAAAGGCATCAGCAAGGCTCCCAGGGCTCTAGAGCAAGTGTGGGTATTACACACATGCAGGGGCAGTTGTTCAAGAGAGAGCTGATCATACATAAATGTATGTAGAAAACACACTAGTTAAACCCTGCTAAAAACAAGACCAGAGCGACTGAACCCCAAGTGTCACACATGGTCAGATCAAGCATAGGATCCAGTCAGAAACCAAATAAATTATGTTTATAAGCACAAATCCACACAGCCATTACTGCTGATGGACATGCAGACAGTCCAGCCCATGGTGCTCAGCACCTGGTTCATCTGACTGGGCACTGGGATGAGTCAGTCTGAAGTACTCCGTGCCCCTTGGGGACCTCACACTGTGCAGGACACCCACACACAGCAGGCAGACAGGACACTGGACCCAGAGGAGGAGATTCATGCCTTACAGGAAAGGCTGGAAGCCTGGCAGGTTGCTCTAGGCAAATGAACTGAGCCTGGGTGTCTACAGCGGGCTGAACTGCTCATCAAGCTTTCCCTCTAGAGAGTTTATATATCCAAGACTACTGCAGAGAACTGCTGGCAGACTTGAACTCACACAGCTCCATCTTCAGCTAACTAGCACCCCAAAAAGCCATCTAGTTCAGGATCTTCTCTAGTGCCAGGGCCAATTATGTTCCCTACACTCCTTACCTCCCCTGCAAAAAAAGAAGCAGATTTTTTCAAAGTAGCTTTTCACTGGTGAATCTTCTCAATTGCCAAAAATTATAATTTCAGGGTTTCTAAAGCTATCTTTCATGAATTCTACTACTTTTCTGAATTTCTTCATACTTACAGCCCCTTCACAAGTTCCATAGTTTAACTACATAATGTAAAAAAAAAAAAAAAGGAGAAAAAACAATCAGGAAACTCCAGCCTATTAGTTGCAATAATTAAGGTGCAATGAAAGAAGCATGAGATCATTCCCAATTCACTATTTCTAAATCATTCATACTCCCATGCACATCTCTTCTGTTCCCTCAAGGCCATCTGTTTTCCAGACTCCCTTGCATCTCAAAATGACCCCTGTTGTGTTGTTTCTGCACTAATTTAGTACTTTTGAAACTGGATGACCAGAACAATACAGTGCACTGAGCACACAGTTATTTTATAGTAAGTCTTATGGTGTTTTTTTCTACTTCATGTCTAAATAACCCTAATCTTCTCTATTCCCATTGGAATAATGCTGGGCTATGAGCTGGCGTTTTCAAAAAATTGTCCACAGGATCTCTTTCCTACAGAACACAAGCTAATCCAGTCCCCCATATATTTAGTTGATGTTATTTTGCCTCATGTGACTACTTTGCACTTGATTTGATGTTTTTCTCCTGCTTTATCACCTGTTTAGTAAGTATCACAAGATCATTCTGCCATTTTTCAGTGTTAAGTTCTTCAATTTAAGATTTTTCTACCCTGAATACCTGTGTGTTACCCTCTGGCATTATTCACCCCTCTGCCTGGATTACTTACAAGGAGATCAGAACAGACCCTTGGTGACCACAGTAGTGACATAACTGCACTGTGAAAAGAGATGATACATATTTGTCCTCTGAAACACTCATAATCCAGGAAAAAACAGCTAAGTTACAAAAGCAACCCAACCTTGGCTAACGTTTTTGAAAATCCAATCTTTTATGGATTGGAGGAGTGCTCACAATCACCAAGAACTTCAAGGAAGTTTAAAGGACCAGAGAGGCAAAGCTAATACTACCCTTGCTGGGATGCAGCTCTTCATCAGAATATGGTAATGTCCTCTGGATGTCCACTGACTGACTTTCTCATGCCTGCCGCTGGTTTACACAGTGCAAAAGATCATCTTACTGTTTTGTAGCTCCTATCCCAAGCCCTTCACAGAAGGTTGTGCCATGTTTGTAACCCTGTATTACTCTAGCACTGAGGCTGATTTAAGAGACAGATCACAAACCAGAAATAAGATTTCCAGAGCCCTGTATTTAAACTCATTTAAAATCACTGCATAAATACCATTTAGTCCTAACAATTTATTGTTGTTCAATGTATTGATTTGTTCAAAAGCTTTCTGTATTGGCATTTCAATTTAAGGCAGCTTTCCAGGCTAATCTCCTGGAAAGAATGGCTCTGATGTAGCAGCCTGCTTGATCCCCTCTGCCATGAACACCAAGGGACACACAACTGCTCCTCTGGAATAGCCCTGTACTGGGGTGAGCCTTCACACCTGGACCATCTACCGAGCTCAGCCACTCCTGTGAACTGTAACACAGCTGAAACACAGTATAATTCACCTCTAGCCAGTCAGTCCTTAATACTGCATACTGGCTTGCTGTGATTTTGTTTCACTTTCTAGAGCTCATCTCCCTATTTTCATTCTCTGAACGGGATTCAATATCAGAAAGACTCCGTATGGTTCCATTAGTGTCCAGTACTCTTCTGCATAAGCAAGGAGGTATCTGAATGTGGTCTGTCTCCAATTATCCTATGTCAGGCTCTCAGATTAGTTGCTTTGAGGCATTATTGAACATGATCCAAGGACAGTCTTTGCTATCATGCCCCCAAATTTTATCTCCTTTACAGAGACTAAGCTTGTCATTATCACTGTGATTTTTAGCTCCCTTACCATTATATAATCACCATCATCAGAACTGTCTGGTGGTTCGTGTAACAGTGCCTAAGGCTTTACACAGGAATTCTGTAACATGCTTTATTTATTCACTTCATTTGACCATGAACTTTACTACAGTATCATTGTTCTACCATAAGGACCTGCTCTACCATTCTAAATGCAACTCTAGGAACAACACATTATGCTACTTATCTTTTTTTCCACCAAGACTTAAAATTGCTACTACATCAGCACCTTCATCTAAACCCAGCCTCATTTATGCATCACAGCTTTATGCTTCAAGATCCAAACGTGTGTTTCTACAAAAATTCTAGATTTATATGCCTAGCCACAGATTTTTTTTTTTGTGTAGGATGTTCTTCATTCCTTCCTACCTGAACTTTGATAGTTCTCCTATCATTTCATCCAAGACTTTTAATAGATTTGCAACTAAGTAGGTCATCCTAAATTGCATGTTTTATTGCACCTGGGTTTTTTTCCACCTCAGAATTTTATGTTAGGAAATCCTTTTTCTAAAAGCAATCCAGTTGGGGTTTGGTTATTCACACCACAGGATAAATGAACATAATCTGTAATCTTACTTTCATTTATACAATATACAGTTAGTTATGTATGTATCCTAAAAGCCCATTCAAAAGCATTTCAGAATTTTAATACAGCACATTTTCCTTTGCTTTTGAAAGACTGGCAATGTAGCCTGCTAGTTAATTACTTATAAAGAGCATTTTTCTTCTAGAGTTTGGAGGCTTTTGGACCTTTATTATTTACTACAACTTCTCCTCCATAGACTAATCACCCATTTCTCAGAATACATACATAACAAAAACATTAAAATCTGCTATTTAATTTTGTTGTTCAGTCAATTCTCTGGTACCACCCCTGTAAAAGGCACTTCTGAGTAATGATCTCTTTGCTCAAACAATTATACTTATTAGCTGTAAATAATTTAATTGTTATCATCATATACCAAAGTCTTCAAATTCTATAGCTGTTTAGAAGACCTGTGCAGGACAGCTATAAAAACTGCAGAACCCAAATTTCTAGGGCAAGAGACACTACTACACATACACAATATTTTAGAGTACCAACTCTTGAAAATAACTAGCACTCTTCCCTCAAATATTCTTGCTTTTCTTTCCTTTCTTTCCCTAGACTAGCCAAACTAGCCTCTTATTCTTTACATTTTATTCAATCTACTGCACACAACTCAAATTCAAAACTTTAATGTGCTACACATTTTCACGTTTGAATTGACTAACTACGTGTTGATGTTCTCAAGATAAAGCTGAAAACTTTGACAGCTGGCAAGGGGGCAGTTGGGTTTTCTGTTGCTCAGGAAGGTGTGGGAGGTGTTGGAATGTAGATAGGAATACATGAATTTTGTGGTAACGAGGGTGTCTACTTTTCATTACTCTTTTTGTGCAGGACAGAGGCAGTTGGACCTTTTGGAGAGCAAGGTTAATACAATTTACTGTTCACCCTTGACAGCAGCTGAGAACCCCACAGGAAGAGAACTAAGCAGCTGATGTGATGTGCAAGAAAAGCTTTTGACACTGTCAATTCAGGTTGCCATCTGACTTGTCACATTGCTCAATGCTGATCACAGTTTGAAGAGTAGTTTTTTAACTACTGGTCTAGAGGTGTCCACTTAACTTTTGATAGCACTGGCTGATGTACTGCGTCACTACAGAACTGTCAGATGATCATGGCTGGATCATTCTGACAGAGGGTGGAAACATGCCATGTCACTCAGTGGAAAAGACGTGGGCTGAGAAGGAAATGATACTTGTAAGCAGGCAGTTCAGGATGTAGTGGGTAAAAGAAAGCTCATAACTAAAAGTTCAAGAGAAGCACATCCTCATGCATTCAGTGACACACACCACGCTTCCTCTTCCAAACTTATGATACAGCAGATATGGACAAGCCCATGAATATTTTTTAAACAGAAATTTACTTTCTGTGTTATACACAGGACAAAGACAGCCTGACATCCAACAATGCTTTACAAGGGCCAGTAAGTACACAGAGTCCTTGAAAACCAGCAATTTTCATCTTCTACAGAGTCCTCTGACTCTGTAAATGGAAATTACCAAACAATTATGGTAAAAGACAGATGGGTAGCAAGCCTCAGGACCCATCACCTTCAAACAGCATCCAGCCTATATATAATGTGCATTTTTCATCCCTTACAGTTCAACAAGATTTCTTTCAGAGGCTTAGACTCCTCCACCCCTGAAGCTATTGTGATGATAAATAACCTATAACTGAAACAAGAAGTTTTCTCTGTCAAGTTTATAAGTTCTAACAACTGCAGAGACACAACAGTATAGTATCCTCAACAGTAGTTACTGCAGTGAAGGGAAGACATTCTGACCCTTACTTAGGTAAGTGCTTGTATGCAGGAAAAAACCTCGCTTTTACACAGCTTTGTTGAAGTAAAAGAAGTTCCCTTACAGTGCTAACCTAGCAGCAATACCTCTACACCCTTCACAATGCACATGCAAGCCAGACGTTTCTTTACCTGGGAGATGACAAAGGATATAATGAGAGCACCTCTCATTCGTTCACATCACAGAGAAGACCCACTGTTCAAGGTTACTCTTGCAAAGCTGAGCTCTGACCTCTTTCAGCTTCAGACCTGTTGTCACACTTATACTGAAGGACAAAAACATACTATGCATTCATGCAGCTTAATGTAACAGGATGGCCCTGTATCACATGCCCAAAGTCAGAGCACATTCAGAGATTTGACTTCCTTGGTACTCGCGCACAGTGAGAGACTCACTCTTTAGTGCCGACAACAGAGACTTCTGCACTTACATGGGAACACCTGGCAACTCTACCTCCAGATGACACAATGTGGTTCTACTTGACAGCTCTTTCTTTTAACCACAGTCTGTACTGTACTGGTTACTACATTCAGACAAAAAGAAAATTAACACCGTTCCCCCGCTGTTGCCAAAAAAGCAGGGTAAGTTCTTCACGTATATAGTGAATATCACCTTGTAGTGACTTGTTTACAGCACAGGACAACCTTTTTTTCACCCTACCAAGTATTTCTCTGAAGTAAGAAAGAAATAATTTTTTCCAGATTATTCATTTTGCAGGAAATTCAACTAGATATCCCCTAGAGGGGATTTATCTGAATGCAACATGCAATCTCATAGGAAAAGTTTGACTACAAATCCATCTGACTCAGGAATATTGGTAAGCACCCAGGGAACAGAACAAACTCCTTTTCCACTTTCACTTTATTTTTCAACAAAAAAAAAAATCATTAGGATGTCCAACTGAATTGAAATCTGAATTCAAACACTAAAGAAACGTGGCAGCAAGCCTTCACTGCTGTCAGACAGGCAACAGAAGTAGCAGACTATCCATAAGTTCAATACAGCCAAACTATTCTTTGGGGAGCCTCTGGTGCAGTAACAAGGTCTGACCACTTTGTGGGCAAACACAAGGCCATTGTAACATAAACACATGGAAGTAAGTGGTCAGGGGCACCTAAGTGTTTCTTAGAGACTTAATTCCCTACACCATTTGGAAATTTTCCATGTCTGAACAGGGCAGTGTGCCCCTGATAATTCAGCTGCAGAGCAGATTCTCTTAAAGATACACAAAACACAGTACCCCTGGCGGGGATAAACATAACATATCTACAACTTGAACTAGATGGAGTTAAGGTTTTTTCTGTTCATATGTCTTTCCCCCGTTGGTCAGAAGGCAACTCTGTCAGTCACAAGTGACTAAAACTCTTCATCATTACAGAACAGTGTACTGGAATGCCAATCTGATGCCATATGGTAGATACTTTGAAATTATAAATCCTGATAAGAACAAATCCTTAAACTTGATTGGAAAATTATTCATGTTGATGGATCTCAGTTCTTTGCAGTATCACTCTCAACTTAAATGTAATATTTTCATTACAATTATTAAACATTAGAAGTATACAGAGCAACTACTTCATTCCCTTTCATTTAAATCTTCCTTTTTCAGCTATCCTGTGAAACTAAGTTGGTTAAACCATGAAGAATTTTCTCCCACACTGATGTCACAAACATCTCTGCTGTCCTACATTATTATAAAAAGAAAACCTCATATGCCACCATAAAAGAACAAATTCAGCATCACACAAAACTGCAGTTCTCAAAGTCCTTACTCAAGAGTTCAAAATATATTTACTTTAGATCTCTAAAAATATTTTCAACTATGGAAACTGCAGAGGATTAGAAATTTCAGATTTGCTATGCTTTTTGACCCCCATCACTTCCTTCCCACCTTACTAGAAAGTCTATTTAGGTTTTGCTTTTAATTACCCTTTCATCTTTAATAACTCAAATTCACTTACCGATAAAAGTGATGAAGAAAATCAGTATTGCATAGTACATAATTTATATTCTATAATATATAACAAATATTTATTGCACAAAAGCAAAATGTTTATTGATCACAGACTCATGCTATAAATATCCATTTCACACTTCACAGAAATAAAAATACAAACAAAAGCAGAAATAATTCTAAGAAATCTGATCTTCTGATGATCAAAAGAGAAAGGCTTCAATTAAAAAAGCCAATGGTCATGAAAATAAAAGTTAGTGGAAAAAATCTTGCATTTAAATTCCAGTTTAAGCAATTCAGACTCAGCAATCAAATTACACAGCTGGTATAAATCTACTGGCTTCTGAGTCAGAAATCACGCAGTGAGTAAAACGTCCCTCTTTTTTTATGTGCTAAACCATCATTTTAAAAAACAATTATTTAACCAACTTGTCTGGAAGACAGTTTTGTTTTAAGGACTCCTTTTTAACCAAAAGGCTTTTGAGACCCCGTAAAACAAAACAAATACTCCCCCATTCTCTTACCCAATATATCCAGCTGCCGTAAGTGCGTGCAGTTGGCAGCGAGCTCCTCGATGTCAGTGTCACACACAGACCTGTTGGCTGTAAGAAAGAGCTTCTGCAAATTTGGGAGTTTGCGCGCAAGGTTTGTGAAGCAGCCTGTACTGCTCTGGAGGGTAGGACACCACCCGAGATCAAGTTCTTCCAAAAGCTGGCAGCCCGAAGCCAATTCCGCGATCCCGCTTTCAGTTATGTTTTTACATCTCCACAAATCCAGACTGCGAAGCTTTTTGCATTTTGCTCCCATCATGCTTGCTATAAGGTCGTAGTCTTCAATCTGCAAGGAAAGCAGACACTCCGTCATGTGCAGCATCGTTCCAGACACAGAGGTGGTTCAAGGTTTGCTTCCTAACACACATAACACATCTGTCTCAACCATTTGTCATTTCTGAAGAGCTCCGAAAATTGTTCATTGCATGGTAGAGTGAGATCTACTTTTATAAAAGACAAAAATAAAATAAATTTCCTATAAACCCCAGACACAGCTGTTTTTAAATTCGCTTAATACTGAGGACCAAACTGCAGCAAAAGCTGTTTCTTTGAAGAAGCTTTTTTTTTTTTTTTTTGCACAGTTGTTTTTCCCTTAAAAGATGGTTACATCAGCTTTTATGACCACAGGAAGTGAAAGTACTGAAGAATGACTGAAGACTGTACTCATTTCCATTTTAAGTCGATCATTTGCTGCATCTCTTTATGAAAGTCTTATTAACTACTTGTTAAGCGATTACACACATAGAGAATGCCCAAAAACTTGGGAAAAAAATCTGAAGAACTCTGAGAAAGCCTACAAGTAATTTTAGGCCTACTAAACAAGTACATAACTCTTATATATGTGATCAAGCTACACTCATCTTGGACCTTCTGAAAGAGTAGAGGCTTGTATAAACCTCACATTTAACACACCCTTGTGAAACAAACCCAGATTAGTTCTAAAGCAAGTGCACACACACAAACACACACACAATCCCCCCCACACCCTGAATGGTCCAAGCACTCACCATGACACAGCTGCCCAGGCTGAGGTGCTGCAGCTCCGAGCAGAAGTTCAAAATACTGAGCAGGGCTGTTTGCTGCCATGGAGGAACACATCAGAAGGAAATACAGAAAGTGAAACAAAGAGAAGAGGTCAATTAGACATTAAAGGCTGTCACCACATTTCCTGAAATACAGCTCAAAGCTCTTTTACAGGTGCCTCAAATACCACTTAATGAGTCTCTGGGTACTTTACCCATTGATTGGCTTAAAGAAATGGTAATCATTACAAACCTTTATGCAAGTCACTTTGGATGGGCTTGTGTGCTGCCCTGAAGATACCCCCAACAACACTGACCTATCCATTCATTTCCCACAGGAGAGCTGGTGAAGAAGTGCAGCAAGATCAAATAACAGGCAAGGCCAGCCTGCAAACACAGAGGGCTGGCCACACACCAGGAGAAGAGGGCAGGCTCTGACAGTCGCCGGTCAGCTGCAGCCTGATGGAGCTGCCAATAGAGCTGCACAGCACCAGGGCTGGGCTGGGGACTTTAATGTCAAAGGCGGCTCCGTGCTGACAAGGATGCTGACAGCCACTGAGCACCTGTCACTACTATCATGCAGACTGAAACAGATATAATGGGTATTTTACACTCCTGTTCCTGCCATTTAATGTTGACATTCTTTGCAGAAAGCACTGCACATTGCTCAGCCTGAGACTGACTGCAACATCAGACACCCCTTACAAAAGTGCACAGCTGGTCTGTTCCACAACAAAGGAAACTTTATAGATTTTTACCTGTATTTCTAAGCTACAGAAAGGATCCTTCTGCACTGTCTGCAGATATATTTTGGTTTGTATTTGGAAATGCTCACAGTGTGAAAAAAAAGAATATAATCTGGGATTCATATCACAAATATCTGTGCATCATAATTAAAACAGCACTTCATTAGGACTTTGTAATCTATATGAGCTTTTTTAAAACAGGACTAGGCTTCACAACATGTTAACAAAAATATGTGCATTTTTACAGGATATACAACAGTTTCTAATAGAAAAAACCCAAGCAATATACAAGTGACAAAGTAATCTACTGCTATTAAGTGTAATTACAAGAAGAACACTAGTCAACAATGTTTGTATGCAGGGGTAGTATAATTTATAGTTTCTTTAAACATAATTTTACTTGTATTCAGAAAGTTTATAGTTAAATTCTTTAGTTAGTTTCCTCTGTTACATTCCAGTGGAACTTGGCAGAAATATGATCCTTTGCCATATCACCAAGAAGAAACATCTGATTCCTGGAAAGACTGGCAGGCATAGAACAGGGACATAGCATGGGGTATTCAGAGATACCATTTCATACATTTAATTTAGGTGTCTCTGAGGAGCAAATATAAATACCCAACACTTAACATGATGAATCTTGATTCCAGCTTGGCCTTCTAAGATTTGATTTCTCAAAGGCAGCCTAAAAGTAGATGCTAAGAGTAAGCCTTCCTCACATACATCTTGTAGGAGTCCTATAAAGTCACTGTCCCTTGCTTGCTTGACTTTCATTCATTTTTTAAAGGAAAAGGTAGCTAGGGAATGAAATGCAAGCATTAAAAAGTCATTATTCAAGAGGTTATTAAGAATATTTTAAGGTTGGTAAATGTGTAAGTATCCAATTCATTTTAAATTAAGCAGTTAATAAGCAAATGGTTCATTTGTATCATGAAAGAGGAATAAACAACTCAAAGAATGAGACATAGTCTTTCCTATTCAACTCAGTGAAAGCTATGAGCTTCAGAACCTACTCAGATGCACAAATTAAAAGCAAAATCCCCAAACACCTGTCAGCAAACCTTAAATATTGGAGCTAAACAAATCAGACTCTGACAGCACACAGAGCTCCAAACATGGTTTCTGCAGGTATTGAGATGTCTCCGCAGGAAAGCTGAATATATTCTACCAAGTCTTTCAGCAATGGTTTCCAGATTGGAATTTAATACTGGCCTGAAAGGATGGGAAACAGCAACCTCTTTCCTGAATTGACACAAACAGTAGAAAAGTGAACAGTCACTCTGAACAGCTTGTAGGATGTGAGATCAATTCCATGCCTCTTCCGAGAGGGGTGAAAGAGAGAGGAGGACTAGTATTCATAGTTATCTTGATAGATAATTGAGCTCTGCGTGTTAACTTCAACAGGAATGTCATGGATCTCTCAGAGTACATTTTTAGTCCCTCTCTTTTTTAAGACAGTCCTTCCTGTATTGCTATGCATTGAGGCTACATTTTCAAGGGTCTTTTCACAATCTATTACTTTAAACCACTATTTAAAAACAAAACCAACTTTTTTTACAAAGCACTAGAAACCTGAGTAATAGAAGGGAGCTTGTTAGAACACCATGTCATACCAAATCATGCCAAGTCAAGCCCAAGAGTAAACAACCACATAATCAACATTCATTTCACTGGCTATATTAATTCCTCTTCTGGGGTGCACACATGCCCACACACAGCAAACCAGATTTCCTTCAGACACAGTGTCTGTTCTTCTGTAACTGAGGTGGGCTTTGCATATGTCATGTAAGAAGAAAAAACCCTTTGTGCATGCCTAGCTGTGTCTCAGTCAGTTGAGAATCCAGGTGGCAAAAGACATGAAAATAGCAGGAGAGAATGGCAGCTCACAGAATCCATATGCACCACATATAGGAGGATGATCATTGTAATAACCTGTCTGTGTCAAGCCATCTGTCAGTACAACAACATGAGCGACAACACTCCTACTGCGGCAAAGAACAGCAAGGCAGTCACCCCATCCTGGAGCTGTAACAGGCCAACTTTCCAATGTTAGAGTGCTTCGCAAGAAGAGCTTTAACCTGGAGTCTAACTTCACTTTCTTGGCCAAGCAGAGACATTCAAATCAAAGACTATCCATCTAACAACATTCTTCAGCCTAGCAGCCAAGACATGTATAGTTTGGAGATTTCTTGAGTTTCCCTTGAAACAAAGGCAAAGTTTAGCTTGTACCTTTTAAAGTGGTTGAGAGAAGAGTGGATGATTACAATCCACAAAAAACCACTCTAGAAACAAACTTTAGATAAGATTTACTTTTGCTTAATGGAATCATGGCATCAGTGCTCTAAATTCCTTTTGCAATCCAAGCAAAACAAAACCTACCAAAGTAATTTTTATAAGGTGCCACAGACAACCGGAAATGTTCAAAGTGGGTGAATAAAATGGTCTGCCCTATGCTCCATTCCCAGGAAAGAGGTTTTTAGATGAGGAAAACAGTGAAGAAGTTGTTTTCAGAGAGAAGACTGTGATGTCAAACTGATCAGAAGGATATGACAGTGCTGCTAAACACAACCTTACAGAGCAGATTTCAGAAATATTTTAAGGCATAATAGTTAGTCATAAACCTCAGAAAAAGGGAAGATGGCCTGAAGATTCTCTGCAATCTCTATATATGGGTACAACAAATGCCTCTTAAAAAGGACATCAATACAGCTGATCCTGGCTTGAACAAGAGACGAGATTACCACTTGAAATCCAACCTTACTCCACTAGAGAGGTGACAGGTCTGTCCAAACACCAAACACCTGTAATACACACCTGGATACAAACAGCAATACTTACTGGAAGACAGTTATGCGCTGTGTATACTTCAAACAAGCAGGTGGTTTTGGACTAAATTGTATCCTACCTGTCTTTGTAAAGGCCTTGTCCATCACACAATTTTTGACTTCAATGTTGTAAAAGTATTGCTGGTTTGAACAGACAACCCACCAGCAGAAAAATCAAACACTGCTGCCAGAGCAATACACTTAGCAAGACTGAATCTTGCATGGCTTCTTCCAGGATTTTTTTACATTCATGATTCAGCAGAAAGCACAAATCATTTCTGATGCTAGTGTGATAAAGAAAGCATTCAACAGATAGCCTGAGCTCAATGTCTGCTCAAACCTTCTGTCTGTGGCAGATGTGACTCACCTGTGAAAGATGCACTTAGAACATTTAAGTATTTAATTATTGCAGTTTCATTGTCAAGTAGTCAGAGATTAAAAAAAATGAAAAGTTAAAAAAATACAAATGATGCACTATAATATGGCTATCATGTAACAACTGCACTACCAAATGAAAAGTTAAAAAAATACAAATGATGCACTATAATATGGCTATCACACAACTGCACTACCGTGCTACAAGGCATGAAAAGAAGTGCGCCACAGTGTGGCTCTGGAAGATTAAGGGAAGAGCTTAAGAAAAACAACATTTTGCTTTGAGTTTGGGTTGGGAAGAAACAGCCTGCAGATTTTAATTAACTTTCTATAGATAAATCTTATAACATACTTTTACATTTGTAACTCTTTTACTGGAGACAAACAACAGGTTGTTTTTTCCCTTTCTCAGAAGAACCATGTCTGACATAAATTGGGAATTCTTCCAGTCCCTCAATAAAACAAGAGCCTAAGTATTTTAAAATATTTTTATTCTTCTGAAATTGTTTCTTCAAATTTTTCAGTGAAGTTAATACTAAGACAAAGGAATCTGAAAATTATCTTTAATTATCTTAAGACTGCTCCCTGCCTTCCCTTGGTTGCTATGTTTCTGATCAGAATTACTAATTCTCCAGTTAACCTTTCTTTGGAAGAAAAAATTGAATTATGTAGGATTTAATTTTGTATTTTTAATGTTAAAAATCCAAGTTACTAGTAGAAAATATTTCCTTCAATAGCCATCCTGACAACCCTGCCTCAATGAGGAAGGCTAAATGTGGCAAAGAGGAGGTGACTCTGCAGGTTGCTCTAAGTATTCTGTCTTCCTAAAAACTCCCAAAGTCAAAGACTTTTGAATTAATTCATTAAAATTCTTGGAATCTGAGATATTGAAAGAAAGAAGAACTGGAGAACTGTGAAGGTCAAGCAAATGAAATCTATGTCTCTCTCAAGCCCACCAATCATATCCATAATTCTCAGAAGCCAATTCTTTAGTAGAAAAATAACAATATTCTTAGAACTGCCAGAAAGGCTCCTCTGCTCATGATCTGGGCAGAAGCTTCCCTTTTGTTCCCAAAAGGTTTAAATTTACAGCAAGGGATGTCGGAACTGG